CCCCCCTCGATCATAGCAGTAGGCTCATCTCCCTCCCCTCGCCACCCCCCCCCTTCAAGAGGCCATCCTGGATCCGCCTGTGGTCTCACAGATCCCACTTAACTACGCCAAGATACAGAGCCTCATAAGAAGCTCACTACATATTTATTCCTCGAAAGCTTTAGATGTGAATGGCTTGCCACGCAGCGAGAAGAAAAGTCCAGAACGTATTAGAAGCTATTGAATGATATTCACATACGGTGAGAAGTATGACACTTGGCGGTTTCATGGGGTAGTCAGCTGGGAGCAGTATTCGGCCGTGATAAATGCCACCATCGAATTCGGTATCGGCTGGACCTCGGACTGTGAAATGCCACTCGAAGAGATTGTCCTGAATTTCGAAACGATATTGCTTGATTGGATTTTCGACAGGCTTCCAGGCAAGCAAAATAAAGGTGCTCCTAGCCGTATCGATAGCAAGAAACATGGCAACAAGAAGTCGGCTATTGTTTAAGACTAATGTAGCTCAGGGAAATCAACGAAAAATAAGTGGATTTCTCATAAAAAGCTTCTCCCTATTGTGAGGTGCCATCTGCTGTTATTCTTGGGCTCTTTTTCTCTTTAAATATTGCTTTTTCTATGCACTCTATGCAACTATGCAATGCATAAAACGCATACTGTCGAGGGATTGTCTGTGTGTGCGTCTGTACCGATTTTTCATCTCGAGATCTACGAAAGCTACAAAGCTGAATTTTTGAGAACTTAATCTACAAGCATATTTGGGCCTCTATCCTCAAAATGGACGCTCCTGCCTAAGTGGTTTCAACGTATGAAATTATGAAAGTTCTTTGCGGATAACTTGGTAACTTGGGAGCCAGAAAAGCTAGAAAGCTGAAATTTTGAGAGAATGTTTTCTGACAGTTCTGGTGGCCAGTCTCAATTCTATTAGCTAGAAGCATTTGCAGGAAAAAACAGTGCCGTTAGCGACAAAAAACTGCGGGGAACTATGCAAAAAATGCATCTTCGCACTGCTAGTCGGTGTGCTGTCCAATATTACTTACCGCTTCCGAGCGAATTTACTCATTTTCCTGACGCAGTTTAGCACTTCTCATTTCGCTGCTTTTTTGGCTAAAATTTTTTGTTCCTTAGCCGCGTGTTCCTGCATTTCGCGGGGGATGCGGTGCCTTCCTCCTTATCGCCAGATGGGCCAATGTCTTTTTGTACATGACACCTAAGTCCAATCTTTCTACACTACTATTCAATGGGCAAATTCTGCTAAAAGTGAGCAAACTTCAAGCGGCTGTGCGTGATACATGTCGGTTGGGTAGCGTAGCTCGATGGCCTCCTTCATCAGCCTTTTCACACCTGCAATGCAAGAAAAAATAAATGGCAACGCGCACCAGACTAGCCGGTGCGATCAGGCGTTTTCTGCAATTCAGCCCATCGAACGATTGTCTATTAGTGATTTTTACTGCTTTGTACTTTAGTTTATGCAAAAATAGTTCAAAAATTGGGGTTACCTGTTAATGATTTTCACTGCTTCGTACTTCAGTCTATGCAAAAATAGTTCAAACATTGGAAAACATTTAAAAATTTCACGCACCTGCGCATGAAAGCTGAATTCGAAACCTTGAAGGATGAATATCTTTCCGTGATTCCCGAGTTAATAGTTTATCCACCGTAGGTGGTAACCGAGAGCGCGACAACGCTGAATTTGAATGGGCAAGTTTGAGCGTGGGCTGGGGGTCACTACTGTAAAATTTCATTCTCCTAGACTCCTTGGTTCCCGAGATATTAACTTACCCGTGAAAAATTTTCACGGGGCCGTATATGTTACCCGCAGGTAAGGGAAGGCTGGATTTGAATGGGCAATGTTGAGCTTGGA